AAATGGGAAATGAAGAATGAAGCAGTAGGTTTGAGATGGGGAGTGGGGTAGTATTTGTTGGGAGAGAAAACAGTTTGGTTTCAGTATTGGTAAAATTTTTTTTTTTTTTTTGCAGTTTTTGGCCAGGGCTGGGTTTGAACCTGGCACCTCTGGTATATGGGGCCAGCACCCTACTCCTTTGAGCAACAGGCGCCGCCCAGTATTGGTAATTTTTGTTTTTTTGAGACAGAGTCTCAAGCTATTGCCCTGGGGTAGAGTGCTATGGTATCATAGCTCATAGCAATCTCCAACTCTTGGGCTCAAGTGATCCTCTTGCCTCATTTTTTTCTATTTTTAGTAGAGACGGGGTCTTGCTTTTGCTCAGGCTGGTCTCGAACTCATGAGCTCAAACTATCCACCCACCTCAGCCTCCCAGAGTGCTAGGATTACACCATGCCTGGCTCCAGTAATGGTAAATTTGAGGTGTTCAGACATATTCAATTAAGGATGTATTTATGGTACAGGATGGTTAGACAGGTCGAAGAACCAAGACAGACAGGTGTTATAGAAATCAAGGGAGATGAATTTCAAAGATGGAGAGAGCAATGATGTAAAATACACAGAGATACTAATTACAGTAAGGAATGAAAAGAGATAACTGGTCTTAGATATTAAGAAGGCAATAATGAAGTTAGATGGGGGGGCGGTGCCTGTGGCTCAAGGAGTAGGGCGCCGCCCCCATGTACGGAAAGTGGAGGGTTCAAACCCAGCCCCGGCCAAAAACTGCAAAAAAAAAAAAAAGAAGTTAGATAGGGCATGTTTAGGGGGAAGGGGATGGGGCAGAGGAACAGGGGAGGTAGGAGGAGGATTGGTAAGCTCTTACCTAATGGACACAACGTAAGGGTATGCAACACATCTCCTGGGTAAAGGGGTCAACTACAACTTTGACTTTATCTAACAAATGCAAACAATGTAACCTAATCATTGCACCCTCATATTAATGTGAAATTAAAAAAAAAAAAAACTGGAAATTTTAAAAAAAGGTACTGCCTGTAGCTCAGTGGGTAGGGCGCTGGCCCCATATACTGAAGGTGGCAGGTTCAAACCTGACCCCAGCCAAACTGCAACAAAAAAATAGCCAGGTGTCTAGTGGGCACCTGTAGTCCCAGCTACTTTGGAGGCTGAGGCAAGAGAATTGCCTAAGCCCAGGAGCTGGAGGTTGCTGTGAGCAGTGTGATGCCACAGCACTCTACCGAGGGTGATAAAGTAAGACTCTGTCTGTACAAAAAAAAAAGAGGGTATATTTAATAAAATGGAAGAGATGAGATCAGACTGCAGAAAAGCAAAGAAAGGCAAGCAGGTAAGGAACATGAGTATAGAGAGTTTTAGGATTTTTTTGTACAGGTATATCAAGTCATGTTTTCCCTTTGTTTTTTGAGACAGAGTCTTACTTTGTTGCCCTCGATAGAGTGCATCACAGCTCACAGCAACTTCCAACTCTTGGGCTTAAGTGATTCTCTTGCCTCAGCCTTCCTGAGTAGCTGGGACCACAGGCGCCTGCCACAACCCCTGGCTATTTTTAGAGATGGGGTCTCGCCCTTGCTCAGGCTGGTCTTGAACTTGTGAGCTCTGGTAATCCACCCACCTCAGCCTCCCAGAGTGCTGGGATTACAGGTGTGAGCCACCGTGCCCAGCCTACACCCAGCTATTTTTAGAGATGAGATCTCGCTCTGGCTCTTGGCTGGTCTTGAACTTGTGAGCTCAGGAGATCCACCTTGGTGTCTCAGAGTGCTAGGATTACAGGCGTGAGCCCCCAGGCCTGGCCCAAGTCATGTTTTCCTTATTCACGAAGGGCCAAACAAAATAAGAAAACCCTCTTACATTTGAGTCACTTTATTAGTGGATAAAAGAACATTTTTTAACCACTGGAATCAAACTAAAACACTAAAATGACTTAACAAGAGTGTAGGCTCGGTGCTGTGGCTCAAGCGGCTAAGGCACCAGCCACATACACCTAAGGTGGCAGGTT